GCCCCCCGCCCGGCCAGCCTGTCCTCTCTGCAGCGGCGATCCCGCAACGCCCCCGTCTTTGCTTGTCTTCCCCCTCCAGATGGAGAGCTCGCAGCTCATCCACTGCCGGGAGCTCGTGGCACATCACCTTTCCACTCTGCAGTCTTCTCTGCTGCCCAACCCTGTATATGTCTACAGTCCCCTCCAGCACACCCTGGTGACCTGTAACAGAGGAGTGTTCAAATGCCAGCCCTCCTCTGTCCCAGGGCCAGGTTTCTCCAAGGACAACGGCAGGCCAGAAGTGCCAGTCACAGGTACAGCCGCGCTCTACCAGCGTCTGCCGGCTCCCAGTGGTTGCAAGCAAGCCTCTGCCAAGCGCAAAGTGGAAGAGATGGAAGTGGACGACTTCTACGATGGGATCAAGCGTCTCTACAATGAAGACAGTGCTCCAGAGGCAGTGGCTCTTGAAAGCGTGGGCTCTGTTTGTGGCGCTGATGTCTCCAGGCAGGAGGGCAACGTTTCCCCTTGTCCACCTTTACAGCCAGTGTCTGTCATGTAGCTGGGAGCACACACCACCCGCTCCGCCGCAGCTGCTCCAGCCACCGCGCAGAACCTGGCGTTCCGTGTCGGCGGTGGGTGGAGAAGGGGCCGTACCTTGTCAGGCTGAACTGAAGGGAGCCAAAAAGCATAGAAAAAGAAAAAAAAAAAAAAAATCCCAACCCTTTTCCGAATTTTTTTTCTTGTGCGGCTAATTATAGTTCCACTATTTAAGCACTTAAAAACACAAAAAAGTATAAAAATCTAAAAAAAGACCCAAAAACCCAACAAAAAAAAAAGTAGCAAAAAATTGTTTCTTTTTAGTGTTGTCAGTTCCACTGTTTTCCTGCTCCTGTGTGTTGTACCCCATTCTCCATGTCCCAAGAGCTCACATCCGTCGTGCCCAGTTGTGCCAGGTTTCCCAGCCAACTAACACCTCTCTGATGCGATTCCCATCTGCTCCTCGCTCTCTTTCTCCTCGCTCCTCTCTTAATTCTCAGCGAGTCTTGTGCATGACCTTCTGTACTACCTGACCTCCACCACGGTTTTCTTTTTCCTTTCTCAAGAAAACGACCCTGTTTTGTTTCGTTAGCTCTTTGGTGTTTCAATGTGATATTGAAAAACTGGATTTAAATACAAGGTTAGTCAGGGAAAAAAAACCACAACAAAACAGGTAACAACACTCGCAAGCCGTTCCACACTTAATAACCACAGGAGTGTGAACATACTCTAGAACACGAGTTTGTGTTTAGCAAACAGGGAAAGCAGTTAACGCATTTTGTATCACTTGAACAGAAACGGTATTTTTTTGTCTTGTTTGCACCAAAAAACGTTGCACTCGGTGTGGATTTTCACCAGCACTTGACTTCTCTGGGTCAAGTGTAAACCTGAAACTCTGCAGTCTGGTTCCCCCTCCCGTATGTTTCTAAGCCCAGCATGTGACCAGCACTGCTTGGTGAGGTGCTGGGGCGGCTCCAGCCGCCTGAGGTATGAAAGGCGTGTAATTACCCGTCACAAAACCAAAACAGAAGACCCTAACCCTCAAGTTTTGTGTTCATGTAACTTCTAACCAAGAGTAAAACCTCGAAAAACTTGTCTTTTTAATGTTACACCTCTGTTTCTCAAAATGACCTGTCCCAATTGTACGCTCTCTCCACAGCCCTGAGGAAGGTATCGTATTTGGAGCCATTGTACTGATGAAAGCCTTCTGGTAGCAATAAAGAAAGTTGTCCTGGATTCTCAGTCTCGTTTTGCGCTTTTCACCCAAGCCCAGGATCTTTTTTAGTCCAGGGTCATTTTTAGTTAACTTACACAGTGTAACAGCTCTACATAAAACTAAAAGGAACCACTTCGCTTTACAACACTGGATGGAACAACATTAGCACGCAAAACACTAGAGCCAGGTGATTTTTACAGCCAAGCCAGGCACTTGCGGTTTGTACACTTAAGGGAGCCTTCTGCTTCCTACCTGCGAGTAGCAGTTACAACAGCCCCACTTACCAGCAGTTGCGAAAGGCTCCGGCTGCGTACGCAGGCTTGTTGGTTGTTGCTGCTTTGGGGAAAAGCAACAACTCTTCTTTGCAGTGAAGGGGCGGGGGGACAGCTCTCTAACAAGGAGCTGCTTGTGAGAATCACAGTGTTAATTTTGCCGTATCATCAGCTGCCTCCAGAGCTGCGCTCAACAAACACAGCGTCGCTCCAGGCTCTGCCAGGATGAAGTGCAGCTCTGGGAAGGGTCACTGCGCAGAAATGTCCCCAGCCCCTCCGTGCAGCACAAAGGTGGCTGAGCCACAGCACCAACCTGTGTGCACCTGCGAGGCAAACACCTGAAGAGTTCAAAACCTCCCTGGCTGCCAAAGGAGCTCCCAAACACACAGGCACTCCCCCAGCCCCGGTGTGGGCAGGTTGTCTTTTTATTGTGCTGGCATCACGCGCAAATCCATGCTGATCGTCTTTTGTTTGGGTACAGGCAAATCCACCACGAACAACAGAAAATTCAGACATAAAACCTGTCTCCCGTCGGCCAGACCCACCTCTGCAGGGTCCTGCTGACAGGCTGCTGTCCGGCTGTTGTCGCGTAGGACACTCGTGGGCCCGGCTCTTGGGCTGTGTTGCCCAGGAGCATCCTGTTGCCGTTCGCTTTTCCAGATACTGAAGCAAAAACCCAGTCCCTGCAACTGCAAACGCACCCACCACTCAAACTCATCCCCTTCCTCTTCGCCTTTGCTGTGAAGGCACCAGTTTGCAAACACAATCTTTCGACCCACCTCCATGTATGAACACGTCCACTAAGGAAACACCCGTTTGTGCCTGTGATACCTTCACACACCCATTGAGGTGAGACGATGAGCTTTGAAAACCACCCATGTCTCAAGTGCAGGTGCTGTGCAAAATGTAACCAGACTTACTGCACCAGCTCACCCCTCCTCTCCTGCCCCCGTGTCAACTTGGCTGTGGGACAGCCGTGCTCTGGGGACTTGCTGGCTCGTGTCTGAGGCACAGGGACCTCTTGCAGGAGATGGCAGCAATGTCACGAGGTGGTCTTGAGCTTTGCAGGCCAGGTGAGGAGCCAGGGGAGCACAGGTTTGCAAAGCTGGCTGCACTGCTCTACAGCTTTATGGTGTTTTGTGGCTAAAAAGGGCGACTGTCAAAGACAGACTTGCCTCTGAAAACCAGGCACATCCCAGCAAGATCAGCTCCCTCCTTATAGCAAGGTACAGCTGATTTGGAAACAACCTGCATTGCCAGAGAGAAAAAAGGTTTCCCGCTTTTCCTCCCCACAAAAAACCCAAACAGGTGATGACACGGGCCAAACGCAGCCTCCACCCATCACCTCTCTACTCTGGCAGCAGGCAGACTTGTGCACAGCTCCCACGGTCAGAACGCAGGACGGTCCTGCCACAGGGAACACCTGAAATCCAACCACTGCATTCACCAAACCTTGTGTGTCATTACCCAAACCCAGGGAGCAGCCCTAAGCACGACAGCCACGTTCTCACAGAGCGCTGCTGCTTGTTTCAGATGCCTTCTAGCAACGATCCCACCTCACCTGCACATGCCGCAACATCTCCGCAACGTCCCATCTTCCCTTAACGCTCCGCGGTGGCTGACTGCAGTGTGGCACCGCAGCCCCGGCGATGGGTCACGCCCAGCCTGCGAGCTGTTCCCAGCTCAAGGTTTTGGGAGCTTCTTAAAGTACATTTTTACTCTCCAGCAGCCACAGGAGGGTTAAACCTGCATCCACAATTTTAAATCTGAGCATCTGCTCCCTTCTGTAGATGAAGCGCTTTCCCAGCTCTGCTGGGTACATTTGGTGACACCGAGTGACAAATAATCTGCCTGGGCCATCCAACGATAGTTTTCACACCTCTCCATGCTGACAGCTCTTCCCTTAGCAGCTGCACACCATGGAGAAAGCGAGCCCAAGGGCACAGGGCCACCCCTTCCCCTCGTAACGTCTCAGCAATACTCCCTCAGCTCAGCCCTTGTCAGACACGCGTGTCCACTGCAAACACCACGTGCAGTGCCCATCTGTGCTTTCTGCTCTCCGCTTCCCTCTGCCCCAGTATCCACCACCACAAGATTATTCACGTCAGATGTTTAATCGTGTCTTTACCCCTCCCTTAAAATTCTTTATTCCTCCGTTCCCTGTGAATTTACCTTGAAAAAACCCCAAACACAAACAACAAACCGAAACTAACCTCCAAAAAAACCCCCCAGATTTTCTGCTGACACCATCTGCCTCAACAGCCTGGATCAACAAACTCCAGAAGTTGACTACCTGTTCCACAAGCAAGTTACTCTGTGTTTTGAGCCAATTTCTTTCTAGTGAAATGTCCCTCTGGCTCTACTTGTCAGTATTTTATAACCAGCAGGTGAGCATCCACCACCACTGCGACTGTGTAACACCAAACCACAAATAAACTCAGGCTGCAAGGGACCTCTAGAGGACATCTGCTGCAACCTCCAGCTCACAGGGGCACCGATCCTCCCTCTCATCTCAGCCTTTCGCTCTCCAGAGGCCTCCAAAAGGTCTCCAAGCCTGTGGTCTCACCTTGCGGGCTGCTGCTCCATCCCATTTAATCATTAGAGCCCTTCTCTCTAACTCCACTATGGAGAGATGAAGTCCAGAGCTGAACGCAGCACTCAAGGCACCAGCACAGCACAACTCTAGAGCTGCAAAATAAAGGCAGTTCATCTAAGGGTTAGCATTAGGTTCGTGCCTATCTGCTTCTCTTTTTAAAGCTGAATGAATGAATGAAAAAATAAATTCTGAATTTAGAAGTCAACCAATAAAAGGGGTTTGTCCCTCTTCAAACCTTCCAGACACTTCGGTGTTGCCAACCGGGAGACTCGGTCATCACTTCCTGCTGTCACACACAAGATTTCAGAGTCACGGGGCACAGCTACGTGGGTAAGGTGATGGGGTTAGTAGTACTTGATAACCACCCTTTAGGCACCAGAGTAAAAAAAAACAAAACAAAACAAAACCACAAACCACCACCCTTTAATTTCTTCTTTCTTGCACTAAATGATTCCCAGCCACCCATGACTGAACCTGGGTCCCCAACCACTGTCACCACCACATCACACACAGGTGACCTGACATGAGGTAGAGGTGCCTCAAGAACCATCATGTCCCAGTCCCACAGCAGCCGTGGGATACACAATTCAGGACTGATTTCAGAAGACACGAGCTCAACCCATCGCTCTTTGCTCGGTACGGGTGGCCCAGCACACACAGAGCACGGCTGCCTAAGCCCTGCCCGAGCAAAAACGATTCCCTCCCGCAAGCCGTGTAATCTGGTCCCAGTTTGCAAAGCACCCACAGAGTTTTGAACCATTAAGAGAAGAATTGACACAGGCAAAGTTTAATCCAGCAATACCCTGAAGGCCTCCACCTGTGAGGCATCAGCTCCCCCGTTTTGTCCTCAGAAGGCTAAATTGGAAAAGTTTTCTAGCTCTGGCTATCACGTGGTAAAAGCAGTGACGGCTGGAGAGCAGACCCTCAGCGGGTGTCACCTGAGACCGCTGAAGCCTAGAGAGCAGGGCAGGCTCCCGTTTTGGTATTAATGCAAATTCTGTCCTAAGCTGTGTCTGTGCAAATAGTCGTATCCCTTCAGTTTGGGCAAAGGTCAGCAGTTCCATTGACATACCGGGTAAATCATTACAGCACACACACAAATCCATAATTTAATAATTATTCCAATCGTATCTAGCAAGTTGGTTGGTTGCAGATGTTTCCAGGATAAACAGTTTTTCTGCCACTTTGGAAAAATAGCC